AAATAAATTAGGTTTTATTGAGGCACATACAAGTCTATAAAGGTGAAACAATGGAATGCCAGTGAGAAAGAAACATAACAATTATTTATTTATTTATTCATGGAAAACAAACAGTATGTTAAAACTAAGGATAAAACGAGATGATGTAGCATTGATATGCCTTATACAGTTTTCACAAATACAACTCAAATAAAATACACTTAATCCAATCGAGGCCGTAGATTAATTTAAAACTATATAAAAATAAAAACACAGAAGCAAAAAATTAAGCATAAAGCCATACCCACAGAGAAAATGGTGATAGAAATATAAAGTAATTTAAATTAGGTTTTATTATTATTATTAAAAAAATTGCTATTCACAATCTTTTTGAAATAATTTTGTTTCGCCAGGAATACGTCCACATCACTTGAATAATTATTATTGAAATTTTGTTTTACTCTATTAAAGTAGGAATTCTGTCTATAATTTGTCGAACATAAATCAGTATGGAATCGCAGATAATTGCGTCTGACAACTGTACGGAATGGTACCTGGATTTTAACCAATGATAGCTGCTCAGTGCTGTCTATCTTGCTTGTATTATATGTAAGTAATTTAATTAGAATACGTACAAATTAAACAAAAGCAAAGCATGAGAATCCAACAACTTTATCTCGTATCAATTTGCTTGCAGACTGGTCATAGCGGTCAAACGTGGTCAAAGTAATATAATCCCCCTTTCCCTATGTTTCAGTAAATGTATGGGGATTACTGGAACCTCCCCGTGGACCTCTTGAGGGAACGTCGAAAGACACTTTCCGTTATTTTGTTTCCCTTGCCAACACTTGTGCATGTTCCCCAACACTTAGTGGTTAATAATCCACCATTATTAGACACTAACATCCGTCATAACACAATTTTTAACAAGAAAAGCAAAACTGCTAAAGTGACGCTTTCCGATCCCGCCAAAAAGTCCTAATCAATTATTTAAAAGTATAAAAATATTTTATTTTTGGTTCCGTTCTTTTCGTTCATTAAACGGAAAAGGAAAAGACGACAAAATGCTTCATACAGCCTAGACTGAAGTAGTTTTTGTGTTTTCAAGCTTTCTTATTATCAAAAATCCAGACTTAAATATCTTCTACCGAATATAAAAAAATATTTCATGTCTGTTTCAAAACGCAAATATTACGTTTTACTAAAATAAATCTTCTATACATATAAATAAAATTGGAGTGTCTGTTTGTAATATTGAAATAACCGCTTTTTACTACATGCATATGAATATATATATACGGTATCTATACCAAAATAACATTTTTTACAATTTTTGTCTGTCTATCTCTTTGTTCCGGCTAATCTCTGTAATGGATGGATCAATTTTGACGGAGCTTTTATAGGCAGGTAGTTGATGTTATAAGGAGTAAATTAGGCTACTTTTATTTTAGAAAAAAAAAAGAAAAAACTATAAGTTAACGGACGAAGTAAACAATAAATCCACACAAAAATTATTTGTTTAAGTACAATGAAGTAAACAATATAAATTGCAAACATGTTAAGCCTTGTATCCACTTGAGCATGCTCAGGCGAATGAGCGGCTCATTCGCCCGAGCATGCTCAGAGGAACAAAATAAATGTTTTGGTCGAACGAGCCTCAACCACAGAATATGTACACTACTCGAAAAGAAGCGACACTTAAGCATGTGTGCTCGTAAAATCGGCCGCGGCTATGTGTGGGGGTCTGGAGGTGTGCGGGGGCGTTGTGCAGCGCGCGGGACGTGGAGAGGGCAGTCGCCGACTGCCCCGACCGAAGGCATGGCAGTAGCGAAATAGTAAAATAATAGCGTTGCACTGCATTGCACGCACGGACTGACTACGCTACGCAATCTTATTATTATTTAGATAATAATAAGAATTATAAAACGAATCGAAAAAGGAGAAAATATATAAAAGTTAGCAATTTGTTATAGTACCTACATTAAAAGATTAAAAATTGATTATAAAATCAAACCTATCCTTCATTATTCACCCCAGTATCCTTGAATCAGTTTACATTTAATAACTTACTATGCATAAATATTCATTGGCACAAGTCTAAATTCCAAGTTCAACCCTAGCGCATACACGCTCCTGCTCAAGGTCACTGACGCTGGAACTCTCACGTACACAGAGTGTCACCGCTGTGCCTCAACATTGAAAAAGCTGTGCTCAGGCTGCTCAGTATATGCTCGGCTCCGTCATGTCTTCACGTGTCCGTGTAGCTGCTGCTGCCTTTATAATCATTCACTATGCCATAAAGATGAAGAGGAAACCACCAAGGTGGTGGATGAGAGACAGTGGCGGATTTACAAATTTGCCGCTAATAGGCTATTAAATTTTTGCCTCCCTTACTGACCTTTGAAATTCAATACGCTAGTTCACAATTATATTTATTCTGAAATTGCAACTTTATGATTTGTGTTCTATCCTCCGCGTCCACATTACGTCGGCTTTTCCCCGTTAGTTTAAAAAAATACTAAATTTAAATTGTAATTAATATTGAAACGCTAATGGAATATTTTAAAAATTCATGATCGCATAAGTACATACCTATATTTTACAGTGCGTTTAGTAATCTTTTATATACGGATTACGGACGTAAGAGTGTTGAGTATACTGTGCATAAATAAAATATAAAATTTTTTGTTTTTCTGTGTAGATTTTGGGCCAAATTTGCCGCCCCCTTAAATCTGCCGCCCTAGGCTCCAGCCTACTGAGCCTACTGGTAAATCCGCCACTGATGAGAGAAATGTATCGTCATCGAAGAAACAACTCGGCTAATATAATTCGTGAATTGACTTTCTCTTCTTTCATCTTCCTTTTTTGTGCGATTATAATATTCTTCGTATGTACTATCCCATAACACCCTCTTTGATTCATACGCATCAATTAATGTTAAACAAGTCTCGTTATCCCACAAGACACTCATCTTTCAAATAACAGAAAAAGTAAACGTTATTAAACTTTATTAAACTCGGGAAATTCGACGCTCGACTCAAACACAAAAACAACCGTTCACACTGAGCGCCAAGTGAATACTGAGCACCTTTGAGCACGGATAAAAACCGCCCTGAGCGCGCTCGGATTTGCTCGGGCCGAGCGTGCTCAGACGTCTCCACTTGAGCGGCTCGGCCAAATGAGCCGCTTATTCGCCTGAGCATTCTCAAGTGGATACAAGCCTTTAAAACTATGAAATATTTGGCCCTAAGAAGGATTAAAAATAATAGATTTAATTTTTTCTGAACAGACTTAAGATAAGGCTGTATGTAAATAAATCCTTTATTTATAAAATGAAGAAATAAAATAGGGATGTCGAAAGTTGAAAAAAATATCGATATATCGATCTTTTAAAAAATATCAATATCGGCTTCGATATATCGCGATAAAAACATCGATATATCGGACCAATTTTCCCAAAAATATCACTCACGAAATATGACACGCGGAATAATAATGGAACGAAAATTATCTCCCTAAAAATAGACCCTATTATCGAATGATGACATAGACAATACTAAATACTGTGCTGTATTTAGTATTGTCTATGTCATCATTCATAGATATGTTGAATATCATTAATCTGAGATCCAGTTACGATTTTTCCAGATACGAATTTAGTTAGACGCCGCTAATAATTAAAAAAATATCGTTTTTGATACGAATTTCGATATTGGTTATTTTGTACCGATGTATCGATATATCGAATCAAAATATATCGGCAAAAAATATCGATATATCGATACATCGATATCTTTTCAACAAGCCTAAAATAAAAATCTCACATATTTACTGTCAGATCAATGACAATTTTTGTATTTATATTTGGTTTAAAAATACTGTTTGTGAAGTGTTAACGGGAGAAATGGAAGGAAAGATTCTGAGAAAATGCGGAATTGATGGCTCTGTAAATAATTGGAAACAGATTTTATCAAACGTAGCAAGGTAATGACGGAGGAGATTTCATAATTTTCAGGATTCTAACTTTGTCAAAAGTTCCTGAACCTTTTTCATGGAAATTATAAATCTTCAACCATTCAGTATCAAATATTACTAAGTACAATATTTATACATTGCTAGAGCAGTCGCTCGTACTTAATTTTACCATTTCCTTTGAAATACTTCTATCGCAACCTATATTTACTACTCATGCGATCATAATGAATTATCGGGCTGCGTGTGTATAGATGCTAGACGACAGCTTGGCTGGCGATTTTTATACGCATAAAAGAGGTTGTGGGAGACGATAAATATGTATGTGCAGCTGAAGGAACGTACTAGCGATGGAACGAAATAAAATTTCGAAGGCATATCTTAGTGCATTTTACTTACAGAGGTACGTCGCGTAGTTGTGGGAGAAGCATCATTCTTATCAGCTCAATCTCAGCTTACAGTTAATAATAATAATAATATATTTATTTGTAAAAAAATGTACATGGTATTAATCTTATAAATATGTTAAAACTAAGGCCATTATTTCACACAAAGTACCTACATATAGTCATCCTCAGTTCATCCTGTGTTTTGGCTTCAGCGCTCTTCCCGAATTTTATTTGCAATGTAGCCATACAAATAACATGAGTACCATATTTTCTTACGTTAATCAATATTACAGTACATTATTATAATTAGTGTGTGTGCGTGTGCGTATGTGTGTGTTTACGTGTGTGTGTGTATGTGTGTAGTGCGTATGTGTAGTTGGACAGAGACGCACGGTTCATTCTCAATGTTTATACTCGAAGTTAGTCTACATCGCCAATGAGGATGGCGCTATAACGACCATAGTATCGTGCGAATATTCTTGTCACACACTAGGTTGTTTATAGTATTTAACCCAGATAGGCGAAAAAATCGTAACATCACGAAAATTCAGAACGAATCAATGTAGATTTTTATGCGTCGTAATAAATATGTTTTGTCCTATCTTTTGCGGCTTTCTCACGTTAAGCGAACGCATATTATGTGAGTCTATCGGCAATGAGTCAGCCGTACCTGTGTAGTAGCTCTTCAATGAGTCCCAGTACGGCGAGGAGGCGGACGTCGTCGAGCAGCGCCTTGCACGCGGTCTCGTTCAGCGAACGTATATTATGTGTGTCTGTAAGTATGGTGGCGAATGTGCCGCACCTGCTTTGACTAGCACGTCACTGAGCGCCAGTACGGCGAGGCTCGCGAGGCTGACAGGCTCGTCTCAGCGGACGTCGTCGAGCAGCGCCGCGCACGCGGTCTCGTTCAGCGAACGTATATTATGTGTGTCTGTAAGTATGGTGGCGAATGTGCCGCACCTGCTATGACTAGCACGTCAATGAGCGCCAGTACGGCGAGGCTCGCGAGGCTGACAGGCTCGTCTCAGCGGACGTCGTCGAGCAGCGCCGCGCACGCGGTCTCGTTCAGCGAACGTATATTATGTGTGTCTGTAAGTATGGTGGCGAATGTGCCGCACCTGCTATGACTAGCACGTCAATGAGCGCCAGTACGGCGAGGCTCGCGAGGCTGACGGGCTCGTCCCAGCGGACGTCGTCGAGCAGCGCCGCGCACGCGGTCTCGTTCAGCGAGCGCATATTACGCGCGTCGCTCGTCGGAGCGCGCGCGAGCACGCCGCGCGGCGCATCGCCCGGACGACGCTACGTCGCGAGCCGCATCCTTGCCACAGTCCTGCGGACAATTCGGTACATTTAAAAATTCAAAATTCAATATCGTTTATTCAGTCTAGGCTGTTACAAGCACTTGTGAATGTCGAAAAGCTATGCCATCGGTTCGCAAATCTACGGCGGGAGACCTTGTTCTGAGAAGAACCGGCAAGAAACTCAGCAAGGGCTGTTTTTCTCTCCCTGTATTATATACAGAGTCGTCAATTTCAAAAATGACTTCAATATGAGATAACTCATGAAGTCACTTTCCATTACAAATGTAAATGATAAAACAATTATGACTATAAAATAAAAAATATAAAAAACAGATTGAAAAATGAAAAAAGTTTAGGAATGCCGTGTCCTACTGTTTAGGCATAAAAACAAATGTACCATTAAAGTTAAATACAACGATTAATAGTACCCAATGTAGCAAGAGCAGACTCAGCTCCGCTGGCAGGTAAATAATTGGATAGCGCGTTCGTCCTGCGATCGTGAAAGTTAAGCTACTTTCGGAATGGTCAGTCATTGGATGCGTGAACAAAAAGTTACTATCTCAAGCTCCTTCGTGCTTCGGAAGGCACGTTAAACAGTTGGTCGCGGCTACATCTGCAGTCATAAGCACCCACCAATCCGCACTGGGTCCGCGTGGTGGGCTATGGCGCAATCTCCCTATTTCATCTGTTACAAATGCCTGTGCCCCAGTATTGGGGACATTAATAGGTTTTTGATGATGATGACTGCCACAAGCTTTCCCTTTGGACGTAGTAGGGAGAGTGGAGACTGACGCCTTAGCGTGCTTTTCAAGGTACGGAGGAGCTCGAGTTAATATATTTGGATCACCCATCTTAGAAGCGATTATTGGGAAAGTTGCTTAACTCCCAGAAACGGCAGACCTTTATAGTTCCAAATTTCATTACATTATCATACCAGAAAAAGCAAAAGCATTTTACAAAAAGAGTCAACTTCAGAAGTAATCTTTGCAGGACTGATTTTCTGTAATGTCTTTGTAAGCTCAATAATCTTAAAAGCACGATGTGGCTTTCCGTGTTTCCTACACTTCGCTTTCATCTTTAATGCATTAATATTAATTATACTGCTTATTGATGTCACCAGCACCGTTACAATATAACAACATTAAGAAAATTCTGAGACATTTATGATAATGAAGGCACACCGAAAATTTATCACCAGCCATTTTTAATACTTAGTAAAGTAGGTATCTACCTACATACAGCAATAAAGAAATATTATAAATATTAGCCTATTTTGACGCGGCGTCAATTAAATTAACCGCTCCCTAAGGACTTAAAGGTGGTTCGACCGTAAAAATTATTAGTTTGAACATGCTAGATGAATATGAAAAAAGCTTGACAATTTCATTAAACCGTGCTGATGAGAAAATCATGTTAAATATCTTTTCTATTAATATTTTATAAGATAACTAGCTGACCCAGCGAACTTCGTACCGCCCTAAAAAAATAGGGGTTGTCCAGCGGACAAAATTGTGAATCTAAACCATTCCCAGATCCCCTTGAACACACACAAAAAATTTCATCAAAATCGGTCCAGTCGTTTAAGAGAAGTTCAGTGACATACACACTCAGAGAAGAATTATATATATAAAGACTAGCTGACCCAGCGAACTTCGTACCGCCCTAAAAAAATAGGGGTTGTCCAGCGGACAAAATTGTGAATCTAAACCATTCTCAGATCCCCTTGAACACACACAAAAAAATTCATCAAAATCGGTCCAGTCGTTTAAGAGAAGTTCAGTGACATACACACTCACAGAAGAATTATATATATAAAGATAAACTCCAGTTAATTAGATGCTTAAAATGAAAATACTTAATTGATAATATTAGATTGTTTCGACTAATAAACCGTGAAGAGGTGCTAAACTTAGATTTTAAATTTTACTAGCGGCCCGCCCTCGCTTCGCTTCGGTGAAGAGCTGTAGTGTAGACTACAGTTTTTGTTCTCAGGCTTGTATTATACGCAATGACATTCATCTATGATTCTTTTTATATCTGCATGCAAAGTCACAGCCCGATCGGCTTAAGATTGACAAAGTTTCATACAAACTTTCATTCCCTATTTTATCCCCTTGGGGGTAGAATTGATCAAAATCCTTTCTTAGCGGATACTTACGTCATAACATCTACGTGCATGCCAAATTTCAGCCCGATCCGTCCAGTGGTTTGGGCTGTGCGTTGATAAATCACTATGTCAGTCGGTCACCTTTGAGTTTTTTATATATAGATTGTGGCCATCCAGAATTTCATTCCATAGCCCTCCATCCGAATCAAAAAAGTTTCTCGTCTTTAAGTTTGGTACGTTACGTTTAAAGAAAATTTAACTAAGAACTTGATACCTTGACTGAACACAAAAAGCATTTCAAGCTAGAGAGAACCGACATATATTATAAGGCTTATGTTTACCCGTTTTGTTGTGAAAATAAAAAAGTCAACTGTGTAAAATGGGGGTAATAATATAAGGGATGCAAAGTACCTGCGGTGAACAAGGTTAACTAAACAACCAAATGTATATAGATTCCCTTAATTTAAATGATGTTCGTGTATTGTGTTTGTGTGGGACTAGGAAATTACAATGCCAGCTTTGCAGCGTACCTACATCCTCGCGCTTCCTAGGGGCAGTTGATGAAAATCAGCATTTTCTCTATTAAGGCAAAAACGCTGCTGAGCTTCTGCCTATTTGCATCACTGTCACTCACTAATGATTGTAGTTCATACTAGTTATTTAAGAACTGTTAAACTTTTAATCATTTATGTCTGCCTATTATTAATTGTACTAATTTGTGATGCAAATAAATGAATTTATTATTATTATTATTATTCCCGAAAAAAACGTGTTTTTATTTCAAAATTGTTTTTTTAAACCCTGTTGAAAAACTAATAGCAGTCCAACCGTGAAAAAATATAATAGGTCTTTACCTATAAAATTGCCGTTCTGCCGTACCGGCTATTTCATCATCTCTTTTCATCCATTTGTTTTCTTTATTCAATAATAATTTAAAGCTTAATCATTTTTGCCTTTTTAACAAATGGAAATGATATCTTAAAATTTGATTTTTTATGCGTTTTGTTTTTAGCGTATTTGCACGTTTTTCGTCATCATGGATACGTTAAAAATTATAGTGATTATGGCGTATGAGTACCGTCGCTATTGAGGAGCTCGATGGCGCCGGTGGTTAGCGCGTTCGGTTGCGGTCGTTGAAGTTAAGTTTCCTTAAAATAATCTTTCGCAGTGGTCGGTCATTGGATGGGTGACAAAAAAAAAAAAATACTAGCACGAGTTCCTCCGTGCTTCGGAAGGCACGTTAAGCCGTTGGTCCCGGCTGCATCCGCAGTCGTTAGCACCCACCAATCCGCACTGGGCCCGCGTGGTGGGTCATGGCCCAATCTCCCTATTCCATCCATAGGGAAGGCCTGTGCCCCAGCAGTGGGGACATCAATAGGCTGATGATGATGATGATGATGATGAGTACCGTCGTGGTATCAAAGCGGCAGAAGCGGCACGCAACATCAACGACGTATAGGGAGCGAATACTACTAACAATCGTACCAGCCGTTATTGGTATGCCCGTTTCCATTCTGGAAATTCCGACCTAAGAAATGAACCCTGTGGACTACCAAAAACTTTAGTCGACAATGACGACTTAAGGGTAGGGACACGATATCGAATAGAAAGTATCGATACTGTACTCATGAGTAGTATCGGAAAAAAAGTATCGTACTCGTAAAAGTATTGAAACAAAAGTATCGATACTTCAATGTATCGAGTACATTTCATAGGACCTTATAAGCAATGTAGATACTCTTAAAAACCTGTAATGTTAATATATTCAACTGCAAAACTAAACGTGAATTACTCAAGTACGTAAGTCACAGGACACACTAGATTTTTTTTTTTTTTTTTGTTTCCTCCCAAGCGGGGGAGAGGGTGAGAAATCCATCATGGATACCCTACAGCCGGCTGTAAGGTTATGTCAGACTCCTACTGACTAAAAATCACCCTTTATTCATGCTTATGGCCAGAAGGGCCTTACAAGCTTCATCTGAAGCGATCACCCCCCGAGAGGGGGATGATGCGGCGCTGCGTTAGTTTAAACTAGTGCATAGTTTAAAATAATGCAAAATGCGCTTAGAGGACAAGTGCACTCAGATGTGCACTTGAAACGGGAGGGGACTGAGAGGAATCGAACCTCTCTGTGTCGGGGGGGCGGGGGGGACTCACCGCGGGTGTTGGATCCTCAGCGGCCAAGAGGGCCGCGAGATCGCGCGTGAGTTTATTGTGTGTGGCTGTGAGTGCGTGTTTGGGCCTGCGGGGCCTGAATCGAGATGGAGTGTGTGGAGCGTATCCCGACGCCGATCTAATGAGTGTGTTAGAGTGCTCTTCTGCAGCTTTGAAGAACCGTTCCGAGCACTCTGTGAGGTGTGTTTGAATTGTGTCGAGTTGTAGGTCCCTGTGGAGGTCCGCGTTGCGGACGTACCACGGGGCCCCTGTGGCTATGCGGCAGAAGCGATTTTGAAGCACTTGAAGTTTGTTCAAAATCGCTTCGTCCGCGTGTATGCAAACTTTGTAAAGCGTTCGCTTGTTACGAAGTGAAATTTTGCTGTATTTACCGAGCATCGGGTGGAGGCGGCTCATATAAAAGCGCGCGGTCGCGACTACGCGTGTGATGTGTGCACGGAAGGTGAGTTTTTTGTCTAGTGTGATCCCTAGGTATTTGACTGTGCGGTGCCACGGTATTGCTATGCCTTGCATTCGCAGAGACCGCGCACCGTGTTGTATGGTTTTGGTGCGGCGCTTGGGATCGAAGCAAATGGCCGAACTTTTGTCCGGATTTACGTCGATTCTCCAATCGCGGAACCAATTCCCAAGTGTTGTGATTGCCGGTTGGAGCT